GTTATAGTTCAAGCCGGTCTATAACTGGCACAGCTGGTGGCCAACTACAACCTGAGCCAACACAACACTAGTAATGAGCCAGTTTTAATGAAGGTGTGGACTGCTAGTACATGTAGTTGCTACTCAATTTGGGCAATAGCTTATTCAAGTAACTTTATATTCTTAAATACCTAACTTTGTTCTGTTGTGTTTATTTTATTAGATTATCAAATATAAACTACTACTCATATTCAGTTTCAACTTTTTATCATAAAATAATCAAGTTAGTTTATATTTGTCAGCCCATTTTTATGCACTCCTGCATGTGTAGTTTTTGTTTGGTCAGGGTTTCCCACAGGATTTTGGCATGGTGTTCATGTAGCTTCTTGTCAGTGGATCTGAAAAATAGGCAAAACCCTGTACTATAATTAGTAACATGGTAGCGTTATTAAGTAGGATTCACCCCACTTCAAAATGGCTGCCACTACTTTTGCAGCCTTGCTACATGTATAATACAGGGTATTAAGCCAAAAATCCTGTACTATATAAAACGCCTAAAACAACTTTCACTAAAATTAATTTATTCAAGTATAGTTTTTGCTCTCAGAAAAAATAGGCAGTCATAACCTGATTACTTCTAATCATCTTTGATTTGCATGTACATGTACATGTACTGCAAAGTATTTTAATTTTGAGGCCTAATAAAAATAGTCTTTCACAAAAGTGCATGTCTCTAAAAGCAGTCCCTGTTTGTATGCTACATGTATGTACATGTAGAATGTTTGGGCCAATTGAGAGGTCTGAGCTTTTTCAAACAATAAATATGTACCTAAATTGGCTATCCTCCACACATCAGTGACCTAATGTTATTAATCTGTGCATTTTAAGTTATAAGATTTTGAACCAAATTTTTGAACCCAAAATAGCTTATGACATACACATACACAGCATCTTACCTTAAGGAGACAATTGTTTGCAGGTATTTAATTTAGCGAATTTTAGCAATTTTTTAAAAATCGCTAACTTAAGTCCGCACTAACTTTAATAACTTCATTGAAAGTGGGTGTGATCACAATGAATAAAATGGTGGCTGTCAGCAACGCTGAGCTTATTTGCAGCAAACTGTTAGCAAGATAAGACTGAATTGCTGTCCAAAGACTTAGAAAAAGCAGATGACAATCTTCTTTGTTCAGTGATTGCTTCTAATTGTAAGCAAGATAACTTTACATTTTTGGAGCAGAGTCAGTGATGAAGCTTGAAGCAATTTAAGCAAGATTAATGCAACAAGATCTACTGTATTTAGACTTGTGCAATTGCTTTGCTTACTCATACACATAGATCACAGCATATAATCTATAGCTTGCTTAGGCTCGCCCCGAATGTTTTGTAGCTATTAATACCAAATGATCAAAAATGCTAAATTAAGTACCAGCCAAATGTCAGAACCATGAAAATCGCTAAAATATGTACACGCTAATAAATGTCTCCTTAAGGTAGCTTATGACATACACATACATAGCATCTTAAAGGGCAACTGCAATGAATTTTTGAGTATTTATTTTAATAATTGCCTGGCCATAATAATAATGTGTTCCAACTCCCATTGTCCTAAAAAAAATAATTTACTGAGATATGAGCCTTCAAAGTCTTGACATTTTGCTTCTGTCAATTTACTTCCTGTCGGTGGGTGTGGCTAAACGTGACGTATATTAGCATCATAGATAATAGAGTAATTAAAAGGGATTGGAAACGCCCACGCTTTCCTGTTTCACTCGGTATCCTTGTGCAGTAATGGCTCAAGGTAGCTCTGTAAATTCAGCAAGCCCTCTTCAGTGCTCCTGGTGGTTGTTAAAAGGTTACTAATTTTCCTCTTATAAAAGCAAAGTGCAACAACAATAAAGACAGTTCTTCTGCATGAAAATCAATCATAATATTTAGTGCCTTATGGTTTGCTCCAGCACTGATGCACATGCATGTGACTGTTCACAGCCACATTTTAGAAATTAACATGAAATTATCTTCAAAATTATTTTGTTCTGTATATTCTAAAGCAGAAATATAGACAGCATCTTTTATAGGGATAAATTATTAAAGAATTTTGTTTATAAATGTCTAAATTTTACTTTTTTCCCATGATCTATAAAGACATAGATATAATACACGGAACAGGATTAGAAACAGGATCACGTGAGCGCATTATCGATTGAAACACTCCTAGTTATGCTGGGAACTGGTCCCGTAATGGAGATAAATGGAGATACTTTGTGGGACTCTCCAGACGATATCTGATAGTTTTGTAACTAAATATCTGCTTTTATGGTTACTTCTTAACCTCTTACAGTGCACTGTGGTGTTTGTTATGGACTGCATTTAATAGTTTTAGAGTACTGACGCCATTGAAATTTGGCCTTTGGTTTTGACATGCCGTGACTTTCTAAAACTTCTGTTTAAGCACTAATAAATGTCTTAATGCACTAAAGATCCTCAGAGAGTAGTCATAAAAGCTCATACTAGTGCGTCTCGCCGTCTCCCGAAGTTGCTAGAGTCCCACAAACTTTTTGAAAAGGAACAGTCGGGGGCCTGGGCAATGGTCGAGCAGCTGCCCGGGGCTCCAATATAACTAGGAGTGTTTCAATGGATAATGCGCTCACGTGATCCTGTTTCTAATCCTGTTCCGTGTATTATATCTATGATAAAGAACAACATACAAGTAAAATTATAAGTGATTGCACTAAAGTAGCACTTCAGTAATCACTGTAGCAATAATTGTTACAGTAGGATCTTCGGTACTGCTGGTAGAGGTACAAAAGAAGACGATAGATTTTCACTGAAAGTTTCCATTACTACCACAGGGAGTATTGAATAAGATTTGAAAGTGTGCTATTGGCATGCAGGCCTACTTATAGTTGCCTGGTATGCTATAGACTTTCATTGTTTATCCTTTGATGGTGAGTTATAGGTACAAAACTGTTTTTATGGAAGTCATCACTGAAAATAGCCAATTTATACATGGATTGCAGGTGTAATTATGTATTTTTAAAATTTCAATAAATAACCATACCAGTATACAACGACAAGAGCTACCTCAGTTACAAACTATCTTGCAAATAAACCTAGATAAAATCCTCTGGTTGATTCTCGAGGTAATAAAAATTAATTGAATTCTTTGGACACGGATTGCGACGCACATTCTCCATTCATTGCTATGGGATCACGTGAGCCGTTTCCAATCCCTTTTAACTCTAATATCTCCCCCCGGGTAGCATAGAATGATCCTTATTCTCAAGCCTTGTAATGTAGTAGCAGTAATTTAAAGATTGGGATCATTAGCTTGCATTATTCTAAGCATGTACTGTAGCTGCAAGAAAAAGTCAAAATTCCACAAGTATGTAAATCTTATTTTTTATCCTGCATTGTTTATATGCTTAGAATAATGAAAGTTAATCATCCCAACCTTTAAATTAGTGCTATTACATTACAAGGCATGAGAATAAAGGATCTATAAACTTCTACGTTTAATCATAATTATGTCACGTTTAGCCACCCCCACCAACAGAAAATGCATTGTAAATTGACAGGAAGCAAAAAGTGCAATTTTTGAAGGCTCATATCTCAGTGAATAATTTTTAAAGGCTCATATCTCAGTGAATAATTTTTAAAGGACAATTGGAGTTGGAACAGATCATTATTATGGTCAGGCAATCATTTTAAAACCATAAATAAAAACCCAAAAATTCATTGCAGTTACCCTTTAAGTAAAAATGAGATAAAATTAAAGCTTGAGCAGGTACATAAAAGAAAATTGTGCTTGGGTTGTCTTTCAGTCATTACCCTTGCCATGCATTTGCATGAGGTGGTACATGTACATGTAAGTAAAACATTCACTCTGTTATTTTATATTTACTATATTGTGTGTAATATTTATGTTGCAAATATTCAATGTACATGTATAAATTACTATAAAGGTGATGCAATACAGTGTACTTATGACTATCATGTGCTGCAGGTTTGAGCTACATAAAGAGTGACTTTACTTCCAGTTTGATACTACATTGTATATGCTCACTTGTGTATTAAAGAAATGGAGCTCATGAATCAAGTAAGACTAACATAATGTGTTGTATTTGCTTACTGAAGAAATTAATTCATTATGTCAGAATAGTTATTTTTTGTTCACTAGTCTGTGCTTGTTATAGAACCCTGTAATACATGTGTACATGTATATGATGTGCCCATTATGTCTTAGAGCCCAGCAAATGTTCTAAATAGAATTAGTGATAAGTGACATTTACATACATGTATAATGAACTTGTAACATCTTGCTTGATGCTACACTCTATAGTACATGGTTGGGAAGAATTTAACTTGCCCGGCATCTGCATATTCATATTGTACAGAGTGTAAAAACATGCTTTGTGAAACACACATAAATACACTAGTACACGCATACATAACTTTTTGAGAAAATTCAATCTAATTCTGTTGGAAACATTTTAAACTTCTGTGCAACTTAAAAATATCAAAAAAAATTAAGAAGGAAAATTTTCTCCTAACCTTCTTTGACAAATTATTTATAGTACAAGGTGACTTCAAAAGTTCGTAAAAATCTACTGACAAGAAGCTGAGCACTATGGTGAACAAGCCTGGTACTATGATGGTAATACATGTAATTATTGTGAACTTATCTCGGTGTATTTTTCTGGCTAGCCTATCTTTTTGCAAATTTTGATTTACTCAGCAGTGTGTGTCACTCTGTCAATTCAGTGTGACAAATGTACATGGGTGTAGCTGTCTAGCAAGCATACTATAGAAAGCACAGTCATGCTGACTCAGCGTTGTTGTACATGTAGGTGTTAATAATGACACAACACATAATGACTATGAATAAAGTTCTAAAAATAGCTGAACAAAATCACATGACACTCACACAGCGAAAGGACACTAACTACTGTATAAAGGACTGTGACAACAACAAGTTAGGCCAAGTTACTAATTATTGTTTGTACAGGTAAGTCACAGCTACATGTACATGTACATTTCTCCTCAATTAATTAATGTCATCTCCAGCGTCAATGAAGCTTTCTGGCTCCTTGAAAGGCTGGGAATTAGGAAGGACCAGCTCTTGCAGCTCCTGTGGAAAGTGAAGGACTAGTGGAGTAATGACTACCTCTTCTGTTGGAGGCTCCATACTGACATTAACAGGCTGCTGCGCCTCCCAAGCATCATCAATAAGAGGAGGAGCATCAGCGCTAGACTGAACCGGTACATGCTCTCTCACTAGTTCAGGCAATTGAAGACTGGAAGGAACTCTAGCATCATCATCATCGTCATCATCATCATCGTTGTCATCATCAATATCTCTCTCATTATTAACGGCTCTCATGTTTTCATTTTCAAACTTAACCAAATCAAACTGGTTCACAACACGTCCTTCCTCATTACTAGCAGCATGAACAGCTTCATCTCTTACTACAACTGGTGGAACTGCAGGTGGTTGGACTGGAGAAGGACCAGAGTTTGAGGACTCTAATGACATATGCCCATGATGAGAGACAGGCAGAGGAGGAAATATCATAGAGTGTGTTGATTGGTTACCACTGGATGGGACTGTTATTGCTGGTGGGAGAGGACAAGAGAGTGATGGTTGAGGCTGACTAATAGCTCCCCTAGCCTCTCTGGGAACTATTTTAACATTAGCATCAGGCAGTCCAGTACTTTCAGGCTTATCACAAGAATATTTTTGATGGTCTGGGTGCTGTGGCTTGAGGTGATTAGGTAGGGAAGAGTACAGTATATCCTTTGATGGTTTCTTCTGGCGCTGTTCAGTCGGTAGAGATTGAGGCTGACTGGTACTAGTTCCGTTTCTCTTCCTTCGTCTCTTTTTACTCTTCGGTTTGGTTTCAGAATGGGCCTCAGCATTTTCATCACTGCTAGGGATTATTGTCCCCCTAGCTGTGCTCGTAGGAGGAGGAGGAAGGATGGGAAGAGGAGATGGAGGGGGAGAGAGTGGGGGAGAGGGAGGAGGAGAAGGTACAGAAGATAACATGGAAGGCCTTTTAAACGAAGAGGTAACATGTGGTGACTTGTCGCAATTTTTTGTCTCATTTTTACGAACGGAGATCTTTTTGGCATTTTTATCGTTATTCATCATTTCCAGAGAAGAGCTCTCAAACAATGACTTGTTGTCAGATATCTCCTTTGAATTGATATCATGCGTAGTGACAGTGCTATTGGGGACAGTCTCAGTGTCAGTATCATCAGTACCTGTGTCACCATTATACTCATCCTTGTACTGGTGTTTCTTCAGAGGCTGGTAGTACAGTGGGTGAGTAGCTACCTTGTCATGAGTGCTTGGCTTTTTTTTGGATTCTATTCCAAGCTTATAGGTGGCATGCACATCTTCAATGATGGTAGCTAAAAGTCTTCTGAGCGGACCAACTGGTAGAATAATGAAGGCTATTATTAGTAGAAAGATTATTACTTCCATTTTGAATAACCTGTAAGGGAGAGAGAGGGTTGTATATATATGACTTGTGGGCCAAGTGTTGTGTGTCTGCTATTACTTGCTAATGCACAATTAGTCTGCATGATGCCACTGTGTAGTGCTAACCTTGTTAAATACAGAAACCCAACTAATTTGCTAAGAGAATAATATATGATTAGCGAGGCTATTAGGTGACTTGGCTGGCTGTGTTACTGTTGAGTGAGCATTAATTAGAAATTAATTTTGCTGATGTAATCCTATGCGGCTATTGCATGCATTGATTGTGCAATAGTTTTTATTAGTACATTATGTACTTGTACTTCATATGTTCACATTCCGATTTATGCCAAATTTTTATGTTTTAGCCTCTCTTCCTTCCTTCCATTTTTTATAGTTATTTAATATTTTCAAGTATGCAAACACAACACATTAACACATCACAAAGAACAGCTGATCATAATTTGTTTTTGAACAATAAACAGCTGACAGGAATTAATAATTAAAATAGCGAAAATGTTGATGCTCACACAAATAATTAAATCAGTATTGTACATGATAAACATATTAATGGTGTATATTATTATGATTAAAGTTTTTTATAGAATGGCGGTTCTGTCATACATCTACGGATGAGATTGTGGTATATAAACGACACTCTTAGCATATTGGGACAGTGGAACGTCTAACTTTGGATCACGAGGAGAGAACGATGCCTCCACATCATAACTAGTTTCAAATTTAACGTTACTGGCTACTCTACCTTCTGTCTCTCTTCTCTCCAGCCTATTTTGTGATGGTTGTTTAATCTCTTGAGCAGTAAAACCAATATCCTTTGCATCATATGATGGAGAGCCTGTGTATTCCCTTCTTGTACTCAAGAGGTGTCTGCTATGGCTATCTATGGATGGCTCTGTAGTGTCTACTGGAGGCGGATGAAGGGTTAACCCAAGATCTGTTAACTTATTTTCATCAGTGGTGTCACTATTCCTATCACTCTTTTCTGCTTTGCTGTTCCCTGCCATTTTGTTGTTTACAGTAAGCTGCACCTGTATAATTATCGTGGGTTCAACTTAAATATACAAGGTGGGGCTAGCCTAGCCAGGTATATAAATCTGTTTTAGAGACGTACTTTATAGTAACTTTTATTGCTACCCATGCTATAATTGTAGTAAACAAGTCTATAGATTATGAGTAGTAAAAGTATGTGTTTATTATTTAATTTTTGTTATTTAGAACTTTAGACAGGACATCTGGTGCCACTGACATAATTGTGGTCATGATATAATATCCTGATGAGTGACTGTATATATAGCTGTGTCTGTTGTGGATCCTTTATTCTGGTTACTGGGTTGGGATCAGTAAGGGGCGCACTTCTCCTGGTATGATAACTTGAAGACAAGAAGTAAGTATTTTATGTAAATGTACATGTATTGTATGTGAGTTTGTACATGCATGTAACATACATGTATACTGTACATCTAATAGTTATGTGAACTATTATTATGCTGTAATATGATGTTTATGTAGCAATAAAAACTTTCTAACTGGATCTCAGCTTCACACATTGTGTATGTACATGTACATTTTATCTGGGTGCTGTGTAGTACATGTACTGTACATGTGCATTGTAATGTCAGTTGGTCCTACTGTTCTATTTCACTGGTATCTTACAATTTTAGTTTATGAGACATCATGCATCTAGATATTAGAACAAAGTGTACATGTACATGTATGTGTCTTTATGCCTACATGTACGTGCATCTATGAGGATTGAATTTGTTTATGTTTACAAGGCATAGCCACGTAGTCAAACATGTGTGGTCGTATACTGTAGATGTTTGTACAATGCATGTTTTTGTTTGGGGAATTTTTGCTTATTGATGCATGTTTTGGATCCCCAATAATTTGTGAGTACATGTACATGTACACATGTACTTGTTTCAAATAACAAACACCAGAAATAGTAGCAATATATACAATTTAAATATGTATAGGTATAATGCATGTACATGTGAATGCCTGTGTACGGTCGGTACATGACATGTACATATATGGTCAGTACATGACATGTACATATATACATATATTTCCCTAATAGTTATATTGCTGAGCAGTAAGCCTAAATTAAGGCAAATTAAATGAGGCAATGACAATGACAATTAATAAACAAAGACATGATTACAATGCACATTGGTTGTATCTGAACATGATGTATATGGCCATATATACTTGTATGTACTGTACATGTATATGCTATACATGTAGTTTTTTGACGTCAAAGTTATCCGTTTGAGAAAGATCTGATGTGAAATCTTTCTCACAATATCCTGGAAATAGGCATTTACATGTACCAGGATAATATGGGTAGTTAACTACCCATAAGGACTTGTCAATTTTTCCTTTTTTGACTTCAATGGGAAGGATCATGTATTCATGTTCCTCTTGTGTGTTTGAGATTGATGCTAATATTTTTGGACTTGTTTTCTCTAGTGGTGTGGCTTGATCTTTCTTGTCTATATCTTGTCTAATTATGCCTGAGTGTTGAACTTCAGGATTGTTTTTGTTCTCATTGTTATTCTGTTTGCCTGGATTCTCTCCTCCATTGATAACCTGTTGATTATCATTTCCAGCATCAGCTGGCTCATCACCAACAGGAGGAGGAGGAGGAGGTCTCTCTGGAAAGTTGAAACCCTCTACTACAACCTGAATCATATATTAAGCTACTAATGAAGTATATAGGTTATATTTATGTTTTACCTCATTTGGGCTTTCAACTGACTTAAGAACAAAAGCATTATATATCATAAATAAGGTGACAATTGCTATTACAATCGCTGCTAGTGCCATGTACTTCCAGTTACTGTACAAGGATGACATCACATTTTGTGTAGCTGTATGTATTTGTGACGCAGTCTCGACTATAAAAGTATTTTTAAGTAACAGCATTTATTGTGAGAGATATGGTTACTTACTCATCATTACAAAAGCCATCTTGTCTTCTTTACCGTCTGACAGCAAAATGTGTCTCGTGATGAGCAAACCATGTGAGCGTGACCCTTGTTATGAATATCATTACTATTTTAATTATGTTTTTATTTTAAACCAGAAAAAGGATTGTTTGTATAAATTATTAAATAATACATGTACATGTAGATGTAATTTATGATACTGTAGTAAGTGGTATTTTATTGATTTGTTGAGTATCGTTTGCATTTCATTTTCTACAATTCTACATGTGCAAGAATTAACTGCATCACAGAACATGAACAAATTATAATTATAAAGACATGTATACAGATTTTTGTGAAAAAATAGATAAATGTGTATACTAATAATTTGTTTTAATTATAGAGTAATGTGCCATATAATTTGTTACTTACACTTTGATACGTTTTGATCCTTTTTTCATTACTAGGTATTTTTCAACTGGTTTCATTTATGAGGAATAGTGACCCTATCATTTTGATAGCCGGTACAGTTTGTACATGTATATTCTTCTTTTGCATGAATGACCGTCTCTCATTTGGTTGACTTGAAATGACGTGTAGCTTGACCTAAGGACTGACGTACTACTGTTTTGTAATTTTTTTCATACCATTAATCACCATATGGCCGCTGCTAGTACTGGGTCACTCTTGCTGTTTACAGAATCTGTGGCTGATACTGAATAAATTAAGGAGTGACTCTAAGGTAAGACTTTTGATTATAGTATGTATACCTGTCCATGATTTTGTACACCTGTGCATGACTTAATGTTAGTTGTCATATGACCAAGTGTAACTGTAATATTATAATATAAAACTAAGGGTCAGTAAGGCTTTATTTATAATTGAGTTTTTGTAGCTATTAGTACTCGTACATATAGAATTATTGTATTCAGGAATATTTTGTGTGCAGTTTACATGTACCAAATTAAAGTTTATGAAATTGCATGTAACCTTGCATGTACTGTACATGTACACATTTCTTTTAATTCATTTTTTGAGTGTGCCAAATTTTGTTGTTGTGTACATGTACATTGTGTATGCCTAGAGTGAATTTTAGGAATACAATGCTACATGTACATGTGTATGTGTATAATGTATTCCCTATAATAGTTTCTTTTATCATTATTATTTATTATTCTAGTATTGATGACATACATCCTGTTGAGGTGATCCTGTACATGTACACGTATGTACATGTGAGACCTTCACTGTGGGCATCAGCCTGGTTCCTATTCTCTGACCATTAAGGATGGAGGGACATGTGAATGCAAAATATGAAGTAAGCATAATGTATAGTCTGTTATTTACCGTAAATGTTCAAATAAAAGCCCGGGCATTTATTTCTTTTCAGGACAAAAAATTGCGTAAAAAAAATTAAAAAAGTAAAACAGGGATTCAAACCTGGAACTCTAAGTTCAATGCACTCAGCTTAACAAGTTAGGACATTTGGGACACTCTAAAGGTTATGATATCTATATTGACTAAAATATGCATATTTATACTTGGAGATTCTTAGTACCAGGCATTTATTCAAGCCCGGCCTTTATTTGAACATTTACGGTTCATGATTGTTGTACATGTAGATGGGCACATTGCTAATGTTATTTTGCCCATTATGTTGTTAATTAGTATTAACTTGTGTATAAAATTTGCCCATCAGTTAATGTTTTAGATTTTTGTTTGGTTCATGTCTAGCTCAATTGTTTGTACATGCACTTACATGTATATGTTTTTGAGTATGTCTATGTTACATGTACTGTATGTGTCCGGGGTATGATAATGAATATAACCTGTATACATGTACATGTAGACTTTTACAATGTACAGTGTACTTAATCCTTGTGTAATATACACATGAATGTACATGCATGTGAAATAACATCTGATCTTGTTCGCCTAATTCATTAATAATTTGGTTTAATTAATATTCATTAAATTACATCAATACATCAGCAATAGTAAGTAGTTAAGTGGATGATTACATGATTAAGTGATAATATACTAGATCTTGTCTTAAATAACCCATTGAGACTTGAAAGGTATATCCTCGGTGTTTTCAACAGGTTCATCATATAGGAATTCATCTTCCATGAGTTCCATCTCCATCGCCTATAGTGTGTGTACACATATACAGTACCATACCACACTGTGTATTGATAGAACTTTATTTGGTAAAGTTTTTTATAATTAAAAATGCATGAATTAATGTCACACCCATTAAAAATGGTGGTATAATATTGACCTTAAACCTAATTACATGTAATAATTGCCAAAATGCAGCTCTACCAAATTAAAGTGCTATACAGTGTGAGCTACATCTTTATTACCTCTTCGTGATCTTCGTTGTCCTCTCTCCCGCGTACATGTATGTCCCTGAACAGTCCTATTATTAGCCTAAGGTAGAGGTATAGTGCTAGCCCTGCTGCTGCTAATAGGACCAAGCTTGTATTGTCCTCCAGGACATACATGTATTCTTGAGCTATTATATAATAGTTTACATTATACATGAACATTGATATTATCTATTTAACTCACGTACATGATATTATAGTCATCGCCTTTTCATACACGTGGTAACTGAGGGAGGGATTCACAAAGCAGCCACGCCCTATCAATATTTGTTATAATAATTATTATTATACGTAGCAATTAGCTAGAATAATTGATCAACCTTTTTACTAACAAAATTTTGATTTATGTTCATGTACATGTACAGTGCAGAACCGGAGAGGTACATGTACATGTATACATGCACTATACATAAACTATGTAAACTTCAAGTACAAGTGGTTATTATAGTGTATAGTGTATAGTGTATGATGAGTATATGGTGCATGTATGAGTCCAGTGCACTAACTAGTGAGTATGTTGTTAGTGTTTAGTGCATGATTTACTAATAAGAAACTGATGTAGAATGCATGTACATGTACAAGTTACAGGCACTGAAACTACACACACGTAAAACAAAGTTGCACGCACTTTATTCTAATTTTTTGTCAACTTGTACCTGACACTATTTTCGTGATAATTGTATTATATGCTCCTCTTAATAATACCATGCACTTACATGTACATTTATTTATATCTTGTCTTGATTGTATATTTTTGCTAATGTTGGTTATTAGAAGAAAATAATATTAATTATTCATAACAATGATTGATAAGTGATAAAATATAATTAAGTTGTAAATGTATGTACATGTACACATGTACATGTATATAATGATTCTAAAATTAATCAGTGACATTGTGTTGAAGGTTAGTTATTGTCTTACAAGAGTTAGTGTTTACTCTGTGTCTACATGTGTTTGTGGGAAATTTTGTGTGGTAACATATTGTCAGCCAATGTTTTAGATTTGTGTTTAGTTCATGTCTTCTAAAGTGTTTGCATGTCAGCTTGATTGTGTGCACTTAGTGTTTATATGTACAATGTATGTCTGTCCCTGATTGGTAAGTACATGTACATGTACCAATTGTGGTAATACAGAACCCCATAATATATGGGCTCCTGTGTAATAATCAGGAGTTAATTCATACAGGGGAGGAAACCTAGGATTTCTCCCTCCAAACTTCATTCCTCTCCCAAATAGTGAGGATATATTTAATTAAATTTTAATACACGTACTTGCTATAATTGACTGCTGTTCACTACAAGAAGCTCACGATTGAAATCACATGTATAATAGCTCATGACTGCACCGGTAAAATTGACTTTTGCTTAATTAGTGCAATGTTACAAAATAAAAATCCCTCAAAATATGCAGTGCTATCGTTAATTTTTGTCACATCCCTCTACAAAAAAATTCCGTATGAATTTTATAAGTAGCTCTCATTATTCAATTGTTATTCAAATTACATGATTGTCAGTTTTTTCTTTGTTACGCATGTACATTTACAGTGTATGTTTATGTGTATTGTGTATGATAATGTAATCTGTCTGTGGCATCTATTTTGATAGCGGGATTTATTGACGAGTAAAATATTTGACGAAAACAGTAAATTTCCCCGGTTGGCGAGTTTTAATTTGACGAATAGGGCCCTTCGCGTACATGCATCACAAAGTACAACATTTTTGATGGTTATAAAATTTGACATTTTATTTTAAATCGTCAACTCATCAAAATAAAACCTTTGTCAATAAATCCCACTCTACGGTATCTTAATCTTTATACATGTAGATGGCATCATGTTGTTTATCTAATTTTCAGTTAGCACTATATATGCCATTAATGACAATAACTTACATACTATAAGCTCCATCTTATCTTCTTTGATAACTCAGCACCACGTGAAGTACATACACTTACCTGCAGTACTGCCCCCAATTACTATAGTCATTATTTGTGCATGCCCGTGAACATTTAATAGTCATTACATTAGTCAAATATACATGTACTTCTAGCAAAGAGATTTATTTTAATCCTCAAAACAAAAGATAAATAAGCAACACACATGTACATGTACTAATTGATGGTCAATCAATAGCAACCCTCAATACATTAATGGGCTAATCTGGTACTAGTTTAGTATGCTACCCTGTTACTCATATACTGTATTCTTTTGTGCTGTTTTTATTTTCTTTCTCATCAATTAGATATGAATCATCATCATTATGATGGCTATAGTTTTCTTCTGCGATTTGCTAATTATGGCTCGTACATATATTGGACAAGAAAGTGTAATAAAAAGTCCTCTGTTGTGTTCTTAATATGGAAGCTACTAGCAATAGCATTCAATTAATTTGGATTTTTGTCAAGTTTTGAATCTCGTCACTTCATATTATGAGCCTCATTGACTCCTTCATCTAAAGTAAGTAGAAAGACAGAATGAAGGAATTGAATAGAAAAAGAAGGGTGAGAATGAATAGGTGTAGTTATATTTTAAATTAAAACCCATGTATACTTAATGCTTAATATTGTTTTATTGGGTATGTAATGTACATGTACGTGTACATGCATGCACATGGCTTTGGAGTAACTTTAAAAATTCATTAAAAATCAATTTTGAATCAGAATCAGCTTAAACATATGCTACACAACATAGGAACATGTGTATGTATACTGTAAACC